TCTGGCACCCCGAACGGGTGCCTCCGTCAATCAATGCTCCTAGTGCTCACTGAAGACTCCAAGCACTCCACCAGACATCATAAGCACTGTAGACCCCCAGGACCAGCCACGCTGTCCTCTACAACCGTGGACCCAAGACCAGGATCCAGCTTCCAGTGGGAGAACCTCTCCTCCAAGAGAGTATAGCAGGTCTAGCTGTGTAGCTCTTTAAAGAGCTAGTGATTATAGCCTGTATAGTAATCCAAAGAGCAATCCCAGGAGCAGGGATAATAACTGGTATAGCAGTTCCCTACAACAAGAGACGAGACTCAGTGTTGAGGGTAAAAGTAAGACTGGTTTAATGGTAGCCACACTGGCCTTTTATGTAAGTCCCCATGCAAGGGTGACACCCACATGGACCTTGTTGAGGACAAGGACACAAACTGACAAACCAATAAGAACAGTGATTAAATGCATGACGCTCCCACATACAATAAAATAAGCCTTCCCCTTTACTTAGGAGATAATTGAGTTAAGCACTATACTAAACTCAATTATCTTCAAACACAAAATAAAGTTTTTCTAAAAAGTCCCAAAAGTACCCCAAAACACATAATATCCCCACAAATGTTACATCCCCGCATGGTCCCATAGCCGAAAATTGTTCCATAGAATCGTGGCTAAGTGCCGCTGGAGGACCGACTGGTTTTGGTCCATGCGAAGAAGATGGCCGCCACCACGTGGTCAAAGGGTACTTCGAAAGTTCAAATGGTTCCAGTTATAAGTCCCAACAGGTAAAAATAGTGATTTAAACCAAGTTTTATCGCAGGGGCCATAGTCACAGGGTAAGGGGCTGGCAAATATTCCCCTCCAAGAACCTGTGACATGGTCCAGTTCGTCACAGGAGGCAATATGTGTGAGTGGTGCAATGTGTGTTTATGGGAAGTAGTGTGTGTGAGGGGTGCAGTGTATTTTTTACTTTTTACTACTATTGCTCTTATTCAGACCTACAACAAAAGATTTAAGAAGTTGTTTACGGCTGTCTCTGTGATAATGGATACACCAAGTAAGTTGTTACATGTGTAGCCAGGTCTGGACTGGGTATGAAAAGCAGCCCTGGAAAAAATTACATACCAGCCCCATAGCATTGCGTAATTATGCCAGCACAATGCCATTTTCTTGTTCATAAAAGGTAAAATCATGCATTTTTCGTGCTCTTCAATTCTCTGGAATTCTTTTCATCAAAGCTACCATCAATAAAAGCACTGCCGTCTGCAGTGGCGTACACATGACCCATGGGGCCCCGGTGCGAAAATTGATCCGTGGGCCCCCCTCCCCCCGCGTGCGGGCCGGGCCGCAACACATGGCGGTGGGCACCTGGTCGCAGGGGTTACAGGGCTGCGAGCCCTGCGACCGCGGTATGTACGCCAGTGCATGCAGATGCACACACACTTAAAGGACCACTCTAGGCACCCAGACCACTTCAGCTTAATGAAGTGGTCTGGGTGCCAGGTCCAGCTAGGGTTAACCCATTTTTTTCATAAACATAGCAGTTTCAGAGAAACTGCTATGTTATGAATGGGTTAAGCCTTCCCCTATTTCCTCTAGCGGCTGTCTCATTGACATTGATTTTCACAGTGAGAGCACGCCAGCGTCCATAGGAAAGCATTATGAATGCTTTCCTATGTGACCGGCTGAATGCGCGTGCAGCTCTTGCCGCGCGTGCGCATACAGCCGACGGGGAGGAGAAGAGGAGGATCGGAGGAGGAGAGCTCTCCGCCCAGCGCTGGAAAAAGGTACGTTTTAACCCTTTTCCCCTTTCCAGAGCTGGGCGGGAGGGGGTCCCTGAGGGTGGGGGCACCCTCAGGGCACTATAGTGCCAGGAAAACGAGTATGTCTTCCTGGCACTATAGTGGTCCTTTAAAGGACCGCTACAGACACCCAGATCACATCAGCTCAATGAAGTTGTCTGGGTGTCAGGTCCCTCTAGTTTTAATCCTGCAGCTGAAAACATAGCAGTTTCAGAGAAACTGCTATGTTTCACTGAGGGTTAATCCAGCCTCTAGTGGCTGTCTCACTGACAGCCGCTAGAGGAGCACACTGAACGTCCATAGGAAAGCATTGAGTAATGCTTTCCTATGGGCGGTTTGAATGCGTGCGCGGTCGCATTCGGAGCTGAGAGGCTGAGGGATCCCCAGCACCAAGGGAGTCCGGCGCTGGAGAAAGGTAAGTGCTGAAGACACACACACACTTACAGACGCATACACACTAGCTAACAGACACACACATTTACTGACAGAGACACAGTCGGCGACAGACATACATACACTCTCATTGACAAACACACACTCACTAGCAGACACACACACACACTCACTCTAACACTAACACTCACTAGCAGACACACACACTAACACTCACTCTAACACTCACACACACTAACACTCACTAGCAGACACACACACTAACACTCACTCTAACACTCACACACACACTAACACTCACTAGCAGACACACACACTAACACTCACTCTAACACTCACACACTAACACTCACACTAACACTCACTAGCAGACACACACACTAACACTCACTCTAACACTCACACACACTAACACTCACACTAACACTCACTAGCAGACACACACTAACACTCACTCTAACACTCACACACACACTAACACTCACACTAACACTCACTAGCAGACACACACACTAACACTCACTCTAACACTCACACACACTAACACTCACTAGCAGACACACACACTAACACTCACTCTAACACTCACACACACTAACACTCACACTAACACTCATTAGCAGACACACACTAACACTCACTCTAACACTCACACACACTAACACTCACACTAACACTCACTAGCAGACACACACTAACACTCACTCTAACACTCACACACACTAACACTAGTTTTTTTTTTTTTTTAAATTTAATCCCCCCAGCCTCCTTACCTTTTGGAGTGCTGGGGGGATTCCCTGGGGTCCAGTGGTGCTGCTGGGCTCCTGGGCGGGCAGTCTGGGTGGCCGGTCGGGCAGGCAGGCGGGCGCGCGAGGGAGCACTCAGTGATTCCTCTTCAGCTCCCTCGCGCGCCGCGTAGGGATGCCGGCGCCGGAAGATGACGTCATCTTCCGGCTCCGGTATCAGTGCGGTGCGCGAGGGAGCTGAAGAGGAAGCACTGAGTGCTCCCTCGCGCGCCCGCCTGCCTGCCCGACCGGCCACCCGCCTTCCGGGTGTCAGCAGGGCCAGCCTCGGGGGGCCCTGGCGTGGCCGCCTCCTGGGCCCCCCAGGGGAAGAGGCTGGCCCTGTGGCTACATACCGGGTCGTAGGGGCGGCCGGGCCCCCTGGTGGGCCGGGCCCGGTCGCAACCGCGACCCCTGCGACCCTGGTATGTACGCCACTGGCCGTCTGTCTTTTTACTGAAAGCTAGACACAACATGTGAAAAAAGCACCATATCCATGTGAATAAGTCAACCAGTGATGCTTCTTTCCATCCCTCCTCTGATATAACTTTTTTTAATTAAAAGAAAGGACAACTGGTTGACATGGATGAAACAATAAGAAGAAATCTTAATTTTCAGATTTTGGTCTGATAAACCACATTTTATCACCACCTGTGTCAGGCATGTCCTCCTAAAGACCAACTACTTCTGGAATCTCTTCTTCTGCTAATGATTCTTCATGTTCATCAGTTTCAATCTCAACAGGAACTCCAATACTGTGGTGAATATCTTCACCTGCATCAGAATCTATATCCAACTCTACAGTGCTTTGCATAGCGCTATGCATTGCTACAGCTAGCACCACTGTCTTCATGTGAAGATACGGGTAGTAAGTCATGCTTTGTCGTCACTATCTTAAACAAGCTACTGACTTTTTGATACTGGTGTGCATCTTTTTCTAACAGTTTTTTTTTTCTTCATGTTCTTTTTCTGATCCACTTTTCTGTTTTCTTTTTCCTTCACACTTCTTATCTATGGCAATCATTAAAAAAATAGATATATTTAATTCAGCTACAAAACACAAATTAATTACATCTGAACCATGGGCAAAACGATCCAGAATCCCAAACTATGGGAGTGGATGGATTAGAATGGTAATTCTAATCAAATTGCTTAAAATTGTCCGCTGGGTCAAAAGGATAAAGACTCCTAAAATTGCTACTGCTTTTTATTGTATTTTATTAAACTTTATGGAAGTTCCATTTCTCTTGCTCCTGATTTGGTCTGGCTCCTCAAGGCTACAGAAGTTTGTCAAGCCCTGGAATAATACATGCAAACCCTGCATTGCAAGTACAACTGGAATGTAGAATGTTCATTGCAAGTTGTTGATGGTATGCATCATATTGGGCCAAATAAGGTATTGGCACCGAGTTGTTCAACATCCTTTTTACACTTATGCAAACACGATCTCTGTGTTTAAAAAAATACATATAATTGTTTTTTTCACTATATTTCTCTGAATGACGTCTCACCCTATGCTCTGCCTTCTGTGCAGGTATAAAATCTCAGCCTCAGCAATATTCCAGAGTCCAGGTTGTTTCGGTATCACCTCACCGGTACTGTTGTCAGAAGTACTGGTACAACAACTAAAATAAATAAATCAATGCAGTACTTTACAAATGTAAGTAAAAAGTTTTCAAATGGACACTTCAGGCACCAACACAACTTCATCGGAGGGGTCTACCTCTAAGTTTACCTCTAAGTTGCCTCCAGCGCTGGTCTAAACTCCTCCCCTATCTACATTCGGCTTCTGAATTTTGAGATTCAGGAAGCGCGGAGTTCTGTCCGAAACGTGCGCCGCTGAAACTGGCTTGAAAAAGGGTACTTTTCTATGCAAGCCAGTTTAGTGAATAAGGAATCACTGATTGGCTGAAAGCATCAGCTGAGCGCTCTCAGCCAGTCAGTGGCGCCTCGCCCAGCAGCCCTCCGCGCTTCCTGAATTTAAAAAATCTAGCTAATAAAACACAGTCTAAAATCCACGAGCAATGCAAAGTTCAGTTAATAAAAAAACCACAGTCTAAAAGCCACAGCTGTGGCAAAGTCCAGTTAAAGGGACACCACAGGCGCCAAGACCATTTAATCTCATTGAAGTGGTATGGGTGCAGTTCCCCTGTCCCATTAACCCTGCATTAATTATTGCAGTTTCTGAGTAACTGCAATAATTACATTGCAGGGTTAACTCCTCCTCTAGTGGCTGAATAACAGAGATCCATTAAATGACGCTGGACGTCCTCACACTGTGCATGAGAACATCCAGCGTCATTGAAAACCCGGTAGGAAAGCTGCTTTCCTTAGGAAATGCCCTAATACGTTTGGCGGTTTCAGAATGGCTGTGACATCGGCAGAGGAGGAGCCTGACCCATTGGCGCTGGAATCAGATAAGTGCCAAAATGGTTTTTAACCTTTTGCCAGCAGGTTTGTATACCTAACACCATAGTGTTCCTTTAATAACATATAGTCTAACAACCACAGGCTTGGCAAAACCCAGTAATGTCTAGCTCATCTCTACAGAGTATCAACAATGTCAGCTGAGAACTACAGTTCCTATTAGACTGAGCCAACAAAAGGGCTTCAGTGTTGCTGGCGAGGCATAACAGAAAGGTTAGTCAAGGGGACTACAACCTGGTAACTTCATATTCACTATAAACCAGGCATGTCCAACTCTTGTAATGCAGCCCACTTGCCGTCCGGGCTTCTGGGCAGCGAGGGAGGCAGGGAGCCCATTACTTACTGTGCTCTTTCTGCAGTAAGCCAATAAGCCAGTAGCTGGGATATGATGTCATCTCAGCATCACTACTGGCCGCATGAGGAACATGTGCAGGAAGAGCACAAATATCCCATCACAGCAGCAACCACTGGCCACCAGGGAGAAGATACACTTCAGCCCTCACATAGGGAGACTGGGTGGACCTCATAATTGCTAAATGTGTGTGTATGCTAGTAATTATGTGTGTATGTGATTGTATGTGTGTATAGGTCTGTGATATATGTATATGTCTGATTATGTATATACATGTGTATGTGTTTAGCAGATAGCTCCCTAATTTGGCATCCTTAAATATGGCAATCCCACATAAGGATAACAAGTAAGTGAGTTATCTACTAAACCAGCGTTTCCCAAACCAGTCCTCAACACCCACCAACAGCCCAGGTTTTGTCAGTATCTCCATTGCAATAAAAAAGAGAAATACAGAAATCCTGGACTGTTGGTGGGCCATGAGGACTGGTTTGGGAAGCACTGTACTAAACAAATTAAATATATTATATAAATTAACCCCTTAAGGGCAGAACCAGTTGTACAAGTTCTAGTCAAAACAAAACCGGCAATTTGCGCTATATATTTGTTCAACCATAATTTATCTCTTTCTTATTAACTGTACTCACACCTATTAAATATAATTTTGTTCAGGAGAAATAGGGCTTTCATTTCACATAAAGTATTCATATATGAAACAATCTAATATGAGTAAAAGCTAACAAAATGTACAATATTTGAAAGAATGTTTTCATTTTTTTAATTCTGCATGGCATTTTAACTGTGAATGTCATAATAATGATAGCTTTCACTGCAACAAAACACACATATTTGTATTTAGCAATGTCTCACGAGTACAACAGTACAACTCATGTACAGGCTTGGTGGGGTTTTGGAAGGTTACAGAGTTGGCATGATTTCCCAGGGAGGGATGGTGGGACTGCCAGGGTTCAAAGCCGTTACGTTCTATGTCGCCGCACGGCTTAACAGCCCATTAAAATGCGGATGGCAAATAACGCTTTAACAGCGTTAAGGGGTTATTTTGGCCTGTGGAATCCAAGAGGTTATACACCTATGCTCTAAACCAGGGGTAGACGTCCTTTGCCAATCCAGATGTTGTGGACTACACCTCCCATGATGCTTTGCAAGCCTTATTGGAGATGTAGTCCAAAACATCTGGAGTGTCGAAGGTTACCTACCCCTGCCTAAACCAAAAACATATAATATTGCAATATATAATACCACCACCCTAGTCTTTCTCCCACCACCTAAAGTTCCTACCCCATGAATATAATATTTAATGCTCTCCTCCCAACCCCCTTCCCTCAACAGTTTCTAATAAATAAATTACAAAATATAATTCCCTCACCCCTGTAGCTACCTCTATTTACATTTCCTCCCCCCCCACACATATATATATATATATATATATATATAATTTACTCAGCCCAAGCCATCCTAACTCCACTTTAAACCCACAACATAAATATGATATTAAAATATATAATCACCACAGCCCAAGCTGCCTAACTTTAGACCCCAACATAATATATTAAAATATATCATTGCCCCTGTCACAAATATAATCATTGCCTCATCTCAAATTCCCAAGTCAGATCTTTCCCGTCCTCCACTCTTTCCTGCGCTGCCCTCCCCTCTATCTAATACAGTGCGGACTCCCCAAACTAATACACTGCAGAACCCCTCCCCTCTATTAAATACACTTCTGACTCCCTCCCCCCTATCTAATACACTTCTGGTCCCCTTCCCCCTAATACACTTCTGCCCCCACATCTAATACACTTCTGCCCCCCCCTCTCCACTATCCAATACACTGCTGACCCACTCCCCCCTCCCCCCTATCTAATACACTTCTGACCCCCCTCCTCCTATCGAATACACTACTGACCCACCCTCTTCCTATCAAATACACTGCTTACCCACCCTCCCCTCCCTTAATACACTGCTTACCCACCCTCCCTCCCTAATACACTGCTGACCCCTCTCCCCTATCTAAGACACTGCTGACCCCTCTCCCCTAAAATACACTTCTGCCCCCCTCCCCACTATCTAATACACTGCTGACCACCCCTTCCACGCTAATACACTGCTGACCACCCCTTCCACCTTAATACACTGCTGACCCCCCTTTCGCTAATAAACTGCTGACTCCCCACTATCCAATACACTTCTGGCCCCCCTTCCCACTATCTAATACACTTCTGGCTCCCTTCCCCACTATCTAATACACTGCTGACCCCCCTTCCCTTAATACACTGCTGACCCACCTTCCAAGGTTCCAAGGTTTGAGATGTGCAGCCACATCTCAAACCGGCCCCAGGGCCGGCGGCCTACGGGAAATTTCCCGGTATCCCGGTAGGCCAGTCCGGCCCTGTCCATCCACCATTCTGCACGCATTCGCACCTGCTACAGCAGAAGAGGTTTCTGCTCTGCTCTGCTCCGGTCCTCCCACCCCACCAGCTGTTCCCTCAATCCTATTCCCTCATATCTCATCCACACTTTTTCTCCCTCTCTTGCTCTTCCTCTCACTAAAATTTTCAATCTCTCCATTTTCTCTGGCACATTTCCCTCACCCTTCAAACATGCAACTGTAACCCCAATTCAAATTATATAAATCAATAAAAAATAAATATGTATGTATATATATATATATAGGGTCAGCAGCTTTGCTAGCTAATGTACAGATTAAGATAAAAACCTTTTTAAAAATAGTTTTTTTTTCCTCCCATTTGTGTCTCAATTCCTCGGCAGACACAGGAAATCCTTCTGCTCCCCATCCACAGAAATTACAGCACATGATAATTTAAATGTGCATATAATTAGCTCACTGTATAATTTCATTTTTAGTTTAATTTTTTTACCCTGAAAGGACCAATATTTTAAATCTTAAAAGAAATCATACCAATAATATATGTGTATATATATATATATATATATATATATATAATATTATTGGTATGTTTCTTTTTAAATTTAAATATTGTATATATATAATTGGTATGTTTCTTTTTAAATTTAAATATTGTATATATATAATTGGTATGTTTCTTTTTAAATTTAAAATATTGTTCCTTTCAGGTTAAAAAAAAATTAAACTAAAAATGAAATTATACAGTGAGCTAATTATATGCAGGCACAGGCAATCTCACTGTCACCAGCTCTCACAAGTTCACTGATATATATATATATATATATATATATATATATATATATATAAAGTATATACACACAAACACTAAGTGCACAGGGCTGTATTCCCAGTCTGGCACTGATGACAGTGTTACTGTAGCAGACGGATGTGGTCTCATTGGATATCAAAGGAAGGTACTGCATTCTCTGATAGGATGAGAGTTAATTTATTTATAATGATAATTGCAATTCATTAAAGGAAATTGGTAAAAGACACATTCACTGATAAATTACCCTTTCACT